AGGGTCTGTTTTCCAGCCACACCTATTTCATATTTCATATGAAAAAAACAGCACAACTCACAAAGGATGGTAAATAAAATTCCACTAAATCACAATCTTGTTAAAGGAAACAAGATTTCTTGGAATCAATTAAACCATCTAAGAAATTACTTCTCTTGATCCACCAAGTGTGTGTTTGGCAAAGTGAGGGCAGTTAGGAAAAGAAAAGAAACTCAAAAAGGAACCCACACAGGATGGACACCAGTGGTTCAAGAAAGGCCCTAGCAAAACCTGCTTAATCTCACGGACGCTGCTGCAAAAAACAAACAAACAAAAACCCCCAAAAACTCTTTTTTAGGACCGTACTGCAGAAGTCAAAGGGGAAGTGCAAGAAAATGCACTGCACTAGCCTAATTCAAGCTGAAAAGTTAAATAAAAAAACTCGACAAGAGTCTCTGTTCATCATAAAAACAGCATGCAGATTGAATTATTAGCTAAATCTGGCTAATGAAAAGGCTGAGTTTTTATAAAGGCTGAGTTTCATAAAAACCGAGTTTTTACATCTTCTCAGGTACGTCCGAGGTGAACATTCTCTCACCACATACTGCATCACTCTGGTCCCTGTGTAATGGACAATTCCAAGAACAATACTCTTCAGCTAAAGAGGCAGGACACCAACTCTCCTGGGGAAGGATCCCAGCATCTTCAGTGGGCTCCTTTTTTGGACTCCTAAGAAAACCTGTCTTGATTAGGACTGGATATGCAAATGTCTTCCAGGGCCGAGAAGTAAAGAAAAAGGGAAGGGCACACAGCCATGGTGAAGGACTGTGACCAAAGGCAATCAAGTTCATTTATAACCTCTGAGATTTTATACTCAAGGCACCCACAGAACAGCTCCAAGCAGAAAAAAAAAAGGAAGACTGATTTATAAAACCCCCAATGACAATGAAGCTTAAAAGCATTCCAGGCCGTGGTTCCAAACATGAATTATCCAGAAGGCAGCAGGAGCACAGAGCAGAAGCCACTAACAGGCTTCTCAGAGCCTACAGAGTCTGAACATCATTTTATCCAGATGAACTATAGAGGGCAAAGAAAAGTTACAAGAATCAGATTTTTTTAAAACCCTCCATGTATTCCTTCCTTCTGGGGGCTATTTTATACCTGGTCACTGTCTTCTATGCAGAGCCATATAAAAGCAGATCTTTTTTTTCCTGCAATCAAAGGAAATGCATAGAAAAGACTTCAAGTTGAAGCCAGACTCCACTTTTGCCAAGTCCATTAGGCCACATGATTATTTTCCCCAAGTTGGCAACTATGGCCTTCCAGTGACCAGACTTTTGTCTAAGCCCCTCCCCTGAGCACAGGTGGAATTAGTGACTTGCTTTGAGTGAAGGGAATATGGCTAAGAGATGGAAAAGTCCTTCCTGTGATTATGTCACATTATGGAAACTCCAAGTTTGTTCACAGCAGAAGGAGATGCTCCTGGCTGGCCTGGAATAAACAAGTTGCCATGTTTGAGAAGCCCACCTAAAAAGGAACAACAAGTGGTCCTGAGGAGCTAAGAACAGTTTTGACTGACATCTAGCAAGAAAATGTAGACAACAGTCCCATGACCACAAAGACTGAATTCTTTCAACTACTCTATGGGCTGGGAAGAGAATCCAAATTTGAGAAGGACTGCAGTGAGGCTGACACTTCTGACTGCAGCCTTGTGGGACCCTGAGTAGAGAAACACAGAAGGGGAAATATTTGTCAAGTGCTTATCCAGCACCAAGGAGACTAAGGCAGTCTGTATCGCATCCTTAGCAGGAATCAATGTTGCCCTTGTAAAGGGAACCTATCAAGAAATAACTAGTACTTAGAAAGCCAACAGACTCTGTACTTGCAAGTAAATTTGGTGGTCAGTAGTTAAGCCCTTGAAAGGTCAGTGGTTCAAGCTCCTCACTGGCTCCATGAGAGAACAATAATGGCAGTTTATTATTCCCATAAAACCTTTGAGAAGTCTACGGGCAGTTTTCCTTTGTCTGACAGAGTGTCACTATGAGTTACAAGTGACAGGGTGACTGGCCAGCATGGGGTTGGGTTTACCACAAGTCAGTAAGAAGGGATGGTCTGTCATTCTAATATTACCAAGTGATACACAATGTATAGAAAGAAAAAAACCAATTTACGTTTAGGTAGGCTTGGTTCATAAAGCACTATTAGATGCTGCTCAAGCCCCTCAGTTCTTCCCCAGCCCACTGAGAAACCTCATCGTATCCCGTGGTCAGGTCACAGGCTGGTTCTCCATACTCACGCACTGCTCGCTGGTCTCTGGGATGAACTCCCCCTCACTGTTGATGCTGGTGTAGGACCCTTGTCGGGCAATGCGCTGTTGCCGCTCAGGTACGTAGCCAGGGGGAGGCGAACTTCGGCCAGGATTCTGGGAGCCTGGGGAACACAGAAAACAAGATCTCTGACACCAAAGTCCAGAAGACACAGCCCTAGAAGTCACGGCTATGAATCTGATGGACTACAGCCACAAAAGTCCAGCTCCTTGAGGCAAATGAAATCCCCTCCTAATTAGAAGTTAACTCTGGAAATAAAGCTGGTATTAAAATGCATATGGTCAAGACCCTGGAAGAAACAAAAACAAGAATAAAGCAAATTTAAGCAGGCAATCAGACCAATTCTTGAACATTATCATCTCTCAATACTGTCGCATTTTTTCTAATTCTTTCTCTCTCTAGAGCACAGATCCCATTCTCACTACTACCTCCTGGGAAGAAATAAAAAGAAATGGTCTACACAGCAGTCGAGTTCTGAGCTTATGGTCTTATTTTAAGACTGGGATCCTTGGGGAGCTCTGGTGGCCTAGTGGCAAGGAGCTGCAACTACAATCCCAGAGGCGCATGGTTCAAATCCACCAGATGTTCTGCCGGGGAAGGAGGGACAATCTCCTCCTGTACCAGTCAGATCTGATTTGACAGAACACTCACACAAAAATAAAAAAATAAAAAAGAAAGACTGGGATCCAGGGAAAAGCAACTGGTTTCACCCTTTAGAGAATGCCCTGCTCTTCACCCACTCCCACCCTGGATCGACAACCTTCTCTACCACTCTCTTGTGCCTGTTCTTTACCCACTCTCACCCTCAGGTCATGAAGAGTCTGAGTATTATCCTGCACTGATGATGTGCTTCATGTTTAGCTGACACTCCAGTAATGACCTCATCTGATCTTCAACATCCCTCCAACAGAGGTTTGGCAAACAATTTTAGATGCCTAATAAGTGCCCAATATTCTGTAAGGTATTTTCATATCTGCTATTTCACTGATTCCTTTTATCAGTCCTGAAGATGTTACTGTTAGGTGCCATCGAGTCAAGTACAACACACAGCAACCCTATGAATAACAAATCTGAATCCCGTCCTGTCCTGCACCACCCTCACACCTTCTGACACAATAGAGGCCATTGTTGTAGTCAATGTGTCAATCTACCCGGTTGAAGGTCTTCCTTTCCTTCACCAATCCTCCACCTTTCTGAGCATCATGTCCCTCTCCAAGGAATAGCGCCCCCTACCAAATGCCTGAAGTATGTGAGGCGAAGCCTCATCATCTTTCCCTCCAAAGAGCACTCCTCTGGCTGCACCCTCTCCAAGACATATTTTTGTTTGTTCTCTTCTCCAACACAGCTCAAATGCCTCAGTTGTTCTTCTGTCATCCTTATTCACTGTCCAGCTCTCAGATGCATAGCAAGTATTTGGAAAGACTATGGCCTCAATCAGAAGCACCTTAATCCTCAAAATGGTATCATTACTCCTCAATAATGTGGAGAGACCCCCACCTGCAGACTTTCCCAGTGTAATACATTTCCTGATTTCCTGACTGCTGGCACCAAGGGTGTTAATTGTGGATTCAAATAAGATGAAGTTGTTGGCAGTTTCAATGTTTTCTCCATCTATCATCTATCACTCAACACTGGAGGAAACCAAGATTCAAGGAGTTTTCTATTTCTCAAAAGATATAGAAAGCTTTAGGAAGTAGGTATAATTTCTATTTTACAGTTAAGAGAAGAATACCTCTTACTTATAAAACCAATTTATCTGGCATTTTTACCACATCAAGAAGTCTTAGTGGTTCAAACTCACCAATGACTCCATGGGAGAAAGATGTGGCTGTCTGCTTCCATAAAACCTTGTAAATTCTAGGGGCAGTGCTGCTTTGTTCTGTAGGGTCACTAAGAGTCAGAAGTGACTGGATGACAAGGGGTTGGAATTACCGCAACAGGCAGTAAGATGGGGTGGTTTACCATTCTAATATCACCAATGACACACAGTGTATAGATGAGTCACCAGCCAAGCATTTTTAAATGTTTTTTGTTAAATTTTTTTGGAAGTTTACAAATCATATTTTTCCATTTATTCATATTTTGTTTTGTAACTTTGTAACTGATTAATGTACTTACACTGTCCCTTCACCCAATGTATTTCTAACTCCCCTCTCCTTCCCTTCTCATTCTTATTAACACTCAAAGAATGGTTCTGTGTGTAAACTTTCTCTCAGCTTTTAATAACAGTGGTTATGTTGTTAAGTGCCTCTGAGTCAATTATGACTAACCGCAACCCTATGAACAGCAGATCTGAACCTTGCCCTATCCTGCACTAACTATCCTCATGATCTCTGTCAAGCTCAAGTCCACTGTGGCAGACACTGTGTCAATCCATCTGTATAAGGTGTTCCTCTCTCTCTACTGCTAACCCTCTGGTTCCTCCAAAGTGAGTTGACAGTTCACCATCTTTGCCTCTAAGCAGCACTCTGGTTGTGCTTCTTCAAGACAAATTTGTTTGTTCTTTTGGCATTTCACGGGATGTTCAGTACTCTTTGCAAACACCACAATTAAAGGTATCAATTAGTCTGTCGTCATTATTTATTGCCCAACTTTCAGATGCGTAAGATGTAACTGAAAATACCATGGCCTGGATCAGGCACACATTAAGTCTTTAAAACAATATTCTTAATGTTTAGAACACTGAGAGGTCCTTGACAGATTTCTCCAGTGCACCACACTTTTTAATTTCTTGCCTGCTGCTATCATGAGTGTGATTGTTGATCCAAGTGAAATGAAATACTTTACAACTTTATAGTCTTTTCTCCATCTATCGTGATGTTGGCTTTGTCCAATGGTGAGGATTTCTTGATGTTGAGATGTAACTCGTACTGAAGGCTTTGATCTTCTGCAGCATTTCAAGTCTTCTTCCCTTTCTGCAAGCAAAATTGAGTCATTTGCGTAAAGCATGTTGTTGATGAGTTTTCCTCTATTCCTGTTATCACAATCTTCTTCGTATGGCCCAGCTTATGGAATAATTTGCTCAGCATATAGACTGAATACATATGGCAAAAGAAAACAACCCTGATGTAAACCTTTCTGGATTTTAAATCATGCAGTGTTCCCTTGTTCTGTCTGGATAACTTGCTTCTTGGTCTATACTTAGGTTTCGCCTAAGTACCACTTGTCTGTCAGTCTCCTGTGCTGTGTGTATGGTGGCTTCTGTGTTGCTATGGAAGCTATGCCACTGGTATTTCAAATACTAACAGAATCACCCTTGATGGACAGACGTCAGTGAAGTTTCCAGACTAAAATGGAGGACTGGCCATGTACTTCTGAAATAACAGGACTTAAAAAACTCTTTTTAGAGAGGAGCGAACTGGGGGGCAGGGGGAGAGGGCTGGGCGGGGAGAGAAGTGCAGCAATGAATGAATGGAAATCCAAATTCTCTGTAAATGTTCATTAAAATTATTTTTAAAAAATTTTAAAAAACCCTCTTTTTAGTGGTCTGTTGTTGTTATGTGCCATCGAGTCACCTGTGACTCATAGCAACCCTATGTACACCACCTCTGAAGCCTACGCTGTCCTGAGCCAGTCTGACTCTGACACAACTACCCTCACTGCCCAGTTACTTTATCCATCCATCTCATTCAGGGTCTTCCTCTCCTGCGCTGTCCCTCCACCCTTATACCACACCATAATTGTCCTTTTGTGACTGACTTATGTAATTCAGCATAATTTGTTCTGGATTTATTCGTATTACACAGTGTTTCACAAATTCTTGATCATTTTTCAATTAATGCATAATGTTCCACTGTATGATGTCTTGTAGTTTCTTTAGCCATATGTCTGTTCATGAACACAAGGGTGGTTTCAAACTCTTTGCTAGTGTAAAATAATGTCACCATGAACATGGGTGTACACATAATCAGTTTGTGGACCTGCTATTGTTTCTTTGGGATAGCTATTTAGTAATGGCCCTGCTAGATTAAATGGTATATCTATTCCCAAAGTTTTAAAGCTATACTTCTTTCCATAGTAGTTTATATTCTCACGAGTAGTATATGAGAATTCCAATCTCTCTACACCCAGCATATGTTGTTTATGATCTTGTTAAATTTTGCTATCTTTGCTGGAGTAAGATAGGATTTCATTATTATATCAATGTGCATCTCTTAGATAGCGATCTTGAGCAATTCTTCACGTGTTTGCTGACCATATGAATGGTTTCTCTGGTGAAGTGTCTTTTCACGTTCTCAGCTCATTTTGTAATTGGGTTGTTTGTCTTTTTCTTGTGGAGGTGCTAGAATTTTCTATTGAATTTTCTATGGAATTTTTAAAATTAATCCCTTCTAGGGAGCTCTGGTGGCCTAGTGGCAAGAAGCTGCACTTCAATACCAGAGACGCGTGATTCGAATCCACCAGATGCTCTGCTGGAGAAGGAGGGACAATCTCCTCCTGTACCAGTCAGATCTGATTTGACGGTAAAAATACAAAAAAATAAAATAAAATAAATTTTTTAAAAATTAATCCCTTCTCAGATTTTTTTTCCAGTCTGCAGATTCTCTTTTGGAGAAGCTTTTTGATATATATAAAGATTTCATTTTTACGAGGTTCTAATCATATAATTTTTCTGCTGACTGTACACTCTGAGTTCTATTTAGTAGTATGTATGCCACTGATTAGGGTTTAAGTTTGGTCCAATATTTTCTTTAATGATCTTTATAGTTTTGGGTTTTATACATAGGTCTTTGATGCATTCTGAGTTCTTTTTTGTATATGGTGTAAAGTATTGATCTTGTTTCAATTTTTGTCAAATGGAATAGCAGTTTTGTCAGCACTATCTGTTAAAGCAGCTATCTTTTCTCCACTTAGTGGATCTTAGTTGTCTGTCAGAGATCAGCTAACCACATGTGGATGGATTTATTTCTGGGTTCTCAATTCTCTCCTGTTACTCTATAGATCTGCTACTGTACTACACAGATTTGATTAGTGTGGCTGTGTAGCAGGCTCTGAGATCAGGAAGTGTAAGGAGGCCTACTGTGCTTTCCATCTTCAGTAGAGCTTTGCTTGTCTGGGGGTCTTTTTCCCTTCTGCATAAAGTTAGTGGTTACTTTTTTCATC